TTTCGTCTCGTTTTTGCTTGCTTTCGTCGGAAATTACCAGTAGTCCATGGTTTTGCACAAATCACCCTATATATTAGATATTACAAGCAACATTTCTCAATTACTTTAGAATAGCTCATGCTATTTAAACATATAACGCGCAATTTTATGTCAAAAATTCAGGGATAAGAGCAATATTTTTTTTTTAATTTAAGGAAGGGCAAACTACATTGGTTATCGCCATCCCTCTCTTCCTTAGCTTTGCGTTCCTCTTGTTATCTTCCTCGCGTCTTAATCCTACTAATTTATTTTTCTGTTCTCCAGCTAAGTTACGATATTTTATGACAAGATAACCAACTCTTCTTTTTCCTTCGTCAATTGTGAATAAAATAAAACAAAGTACAAACACATACACAGAAACAAGATGACAACCTGACAACATGACAACCTGGTTAGCATTCACACTATCCCAGAGCACTCGATATTCCTCGGGGAGTAATTGGGAATGCCCTACCATTCACGCTACTAAATTACATTCACACACCAGACAACATTCATACCACCCCAGAGTACTTCATATTCCTCGGATTAATTGGGGATATGCCCTTTCATTCACGCTAATAATTACATTCACACTACCCCAGAGCACTCAATATTCCTCGGGGAGTAATTGGGAATGCCCTTCCATCCACGCTAATAAATTACATTCACACACCAGACAGCATTCATACCACCCCAGAGTACTTCATATTCCCCGGATTAATTAAGGATATGCCCTTTCAGCTCTAATACTGCGTTTGTCGGCCACAACCGGTATTACCTTAATCTACGAGCACAGCGAAAGAGAGTATTAAAAACTAAATGGAATCTATCCCCCGGATACAGGCAATCGAAAGAGTTTGTTAAGGTGATTAAACCAGCAGAATCGAAATGGCTATTCTCTAACTCAAGGAAGGGAATTAGGAGGCTGATAGGTATTCTGACGGGCCACTGCCCATTGAGAAGACACCTCTCCGTAATGGGTATTCTACCAGATCCTTTTTGCAAAATAAAATAAGAAACGGCAAGGCACTACCTCGCAGAGTGTGATAGGTATGCTAGGTCTAGATTTGAAATCTTTGAAGGAGCGGAAATCACCAAATCACTCCCGAGATAAAATGGTCCAAAATCTTGGGGTTCGTGAACAAGTCCAAGAGATTTGTGCAGGANTATATATATATACATGCCCTTTCATTCACGCTAAAATTACATTCACACACCAGACTACATTCACACTACCGCAGAGTACTCGATATTCCTCAGAGTAATTGGGGATATGCCCTTCCATTCAAGCTAATAAATTGCATTCACACACCAGACCTCAGTCACACTATCCCAAAGTATTATATATTCCTCTGGGTAAGATGAGATGAGTAATCCCAATTATATTGGAAGTTGAAAAACGGCGTAGAATCTATGAAGAAACGCAAGGACTAGAACCGGCGGAAAAGAGAGACATTATCAACAGAATTCATCAGGACGCAATTACGCGATGGCAGAGACGATGGGATGAAACCGACAAAGGCCGTCGTACCCATCAGCTTATGCCTTCTATAAGTGACAGACTAAAACGTAAATATAGGTCATTATATGACCCAAATGTTCACGGGGCATGGTGATTTTGGGACGAATTTGTGTAAATTCGGCATGCGGAACACGGCGGAGTGCCCTCAGTGCTCTAACGGTTCTGAAGAGACAACAGACCACACTTTTTCAGAGTGCCCGGCTTATTCTGCTGCAAGAAGCAGATGGTTAAGGGAAACGTGCTCCATAGAGTGTGGCGTCCGAGCCATATCCAGTGCGATAATGTCAAAGGAAGGATTCGCGGCCACCAAACGCTTTGTGTATCAGGTAATGACAATAAAAGGATGGCCAACACCACCCAACAGTGACGAATAAGTGTCAGTATAAGTGTTAATCTAAGTATCAGTGAGTGATTGTATGTATAGTATTAGAATGTACGAGGGGTGCCCACTCTCTTTCTCTCCTGGGCGGGGTTCAGTTACGGGGAGATTGGGCACCCCCTCATTAGCACGTAAGATATTTGTAAGGTGCGACCCTCACGTCATATCCCGACCAGGCACCTCCCCGTGGTCCATCCTGGGCACGGCTGCAGCCGTGGCTAACGCCTGGTGACGTGAGGGTTGGGCCTTCAGGGGTATATGGTTGCACGACCATCCTGTGTAAGTCCGGAAACAGACATAGGAACAGGCAGCCTTAGACCTTTGAAGGGTAAGATGAGAGCAATTAGAAACAATACACTCAATTCCTTTCGACGAGCTTTAAAAACTGTGTCCTTCATATCTTCAAGGACTATGAAACTGTAATTAATAATTTATAACGTTAACAATATTTATATTTGTTAAAATAATTATTATAATAACAGTTACTATTTTTTTTCCAACGTATCTTTGCAACTGTACACGTGCAATTAATTTTAATTTACTTTAAATGCTTACAGGTATTTAGATCAATTGCCACTCGTTTAGTTTTATTTATGTTTCCTCTTTCTGTGGACATTAAAAGGAAACTTTAAAACACAAAATGTTCGTAAATAAAAAAGAAAACGAGGAAATTGCTGTTTTCAACACCGATCACCAAATCTCACACTGACAATATTAGTTATTACAGTTATATTTTGTGAAATTGTTGTGAATTTAAATTAGCATAAGCTGTTGCGTTGTACTACCCTATTTTTATAACTAAAATAAAAAGTATATGGTAGGAAGGATAACGGAAAAAGGATTTTAAAAAATCATGTAAAAAAATATAAAGATATGGGATCTTTATATTTTCGAATCTTTGAAAACTAAAGCAAACAAAACAGTATACCAGACAAAAACAAATAAGGGAGTTTTAAACATAGCTGGAAGAGGATATTTTTGAATTCAATGTTCAATGACATTGTTGGTGATTTTCAAAAAAAAATATTAAGAATCATAAATCCATTTAAATAAAGTTGAACAAGTAGCATTTTTTGACTAAAAGCATGTAATTTCTTTGACTTTCATGTCTAATAAATATGAAATATACCACACTGTAGAAAAAACGTACGTTTTACAATTAGCTATATTTTTGACAGTCAGGCCGCTTTTGATTCAGCATAATGGACGTTACTGTTCAATGAACTTAAAAAGGAAGACTGCCATCGAAACATCTTCAGAATAATCACGAGTTACTTCGAAGATAGGGAAGCTGTTAAGGGAACAAAGCACACCACTTCTCGGAGAAAAATAAAAAAGGGCAACGCTCAAGGATCTGTCTTAAGACCTCTTCTCTGGAATATAGACTTCAAATACTTTGAAAGACTAGAAAAACTAAAACTTAAAAAATACACCAGAGTAGAAATAGGTAAATGTTAAACCCGGCACACCAGGCAATCAAAATAATTGAAAAACCTTAGGCTTTCTCCAAACTAAGCACTAAAGATCTATCGACGGTATATAAAAGTAGGTGACCTGCCTATAGCGAGGTATTGAAGTACAGCATGAGCGACGAAAATGAAAAGCCAAACCAGAAATATTCTTGAACAGGACCAAAGAACGTTCAACCCATAGAACATCGTCCTTCAAAGCAGGTCTCTTAGGCAAATAAAAAACTAAGAAATTTTGAACTGGATTGGTTGAAAAGTCTCCAAAAGAAAAATGTTTACAGTTTATGAAAAACTGAATAGACACAAGATGGCAAACAAGATAGGCAGGAACAGGGTATATATTCAAATTCTTCCTTGAAATTGATGATGACTAAGGGCCACGGATATTTAAAAAAAATATCTTTTTAAGTTTAAAAGAGCAAACATCCCCCCAACTCTATGGAAGACGATGTATCACACAGAATTTTCATGTCCTCGCCAATATAAAAAAAGGGAAAAACTAATAACATCGAACCCAAAAATCTGACTTGAACGAATTGACAAACGAAAAAAATTGTTTCAGGGAATTTAAATTGTTTAGCGCAAGCACCATGCGTGATTTTTAGGTATTAATTTATTTATTTTAGCGTTTTTTTATTTATATAATAGTACTTACATTTGTATGAAACGTTTTTATCACTGAATTATTCATGTAATTAGTCGTGTGCATGTTTATTCTGTACACCTTGGTATCAACTTTACTACATCCTTGAAGCATCTCTGCAGAGAGAAGGCAGCAGCGCTAAGGACGCCGTTAATAGTAGAAGCACAAAGTAATGACAAAGAAGATCTCACTTGTGCAACAGATGGTGATGCTCAACTGCACCCTGAGATCTAGCGTTAATTACCAGACGAAATTGCCCAGATTATCAAGGAAGCAGTGATGTATTTTTCACTTTTTTCTATCCGCAACATTACGAGCTTTCATTTTGTTGTGTCCTGCTTTGGACGAAACTTTGTTGTTTTCGTCGCTCTTCTTCACTTTTTGCATCTACTTCATCTTCGTTTTTTTATCACATCTTCTTTTATGCACGGCCTTCGAGGAAAGTAACAAAAAGTACTTGGTTTTCAACCATTCAGGCGGTAATGCGTGAAGACAGAAATTGTTTTAGCCTTATAAAAATAGATAAAGATAATTAATAAATAATTTATGAGAGTTCCTCCTGATCTGAGAGGTTATGAATTTATAATTTCGTCGGATCATCATGGTCCGCCTATCTTCGTTGGGTTGATCTGCCAGTCTCAGAGATTGCCTTCAGTGTGTGTGATTTCTATAAAGTCATATCTCTTTTATGAGGTCGTAAAGTGTGGATTAAGTCAAAGTTTACGGTTTTTTATTGTTCATATCGGTTTTTGTAATCTCCGTCCTTTTTCTTTTTAATTTGTATAGGTTTTTAACTATGTGAATTGTTGTTATTTTGGGTATTGTATGGATTTTTAGTGTTACATGTTTCTATTTCCAAGTATTCGAGTACATTCATTCATCCTTTTTGTATGTCGTGATGTAGTTTCATGTTTGTCTTTATTGTTGATGATTCGTGATGGTTTTCCATCCACCAAATAGCAAGTCCATTTGTTCTGCTGAAAAAATGCAAAATATATTTTTGAAATTTGAAATCATGTTTTTTTTATACTATTGTAATAAATTTGTCTGTACATAAATTATCCACGTCCGCCTATTCTCAGTTTTTTATAGGCGTCGGCTACTCTGTTCCTAATTTGTTCTTCGTTGTTACTTATTATATTCTTTTATTTATGCTTTGAAATTAATAATATTCAATTTACACAGTACGATCAGGAAACACACAAATTGTCCTCATAATTTGATCATTACCGACCGTTTTCTTCTGCCATCGCTCGCTGGGTTGCATCCTCAGTGTATTTATACAGACCGAAATTATAGGCAACGATCAAATTACAGGTTCATCACCTCCACACCACACGAGGAAATCTCTTGATTTTTCCTTGGTTTATGACATATTGGAGTTCTTGAACAGCCCTGGTCCGCTTATTCTCTCTGGACGACATCGCTGAAAATAGCTCGGTAATTAGGGACAAATATGTAAAAATAAAACAAAATTTTCTCTAAATTTTTCTGGGTGATCCGACAAGTTCATGTGCACAAATGGTCCTCGTCCGCTTGTTATAGCTCGTCTTACTCAGTTGACTTCGGGTGGCATCAGCGTTCTTGAAATTTCAAGGCAGTCAATCTTTAAATAAAATTTGAAAGGACGATTTATTTACGACTAAGATTCGTTTATACGCTTTTTGATGACAGCCAATCGAGAATATTTATGGAATTTCTAAATACATCCATTCAACCCAGACATACATGACAGAATGAGGGTCCATCCCCTAAAAATGGCGATATGCTGATAAGGGAAAAATATATTAAAAAAAAAAAATAAAAGTAATAACTTACACTTTTGCGGGATGATCCGAGAAGTCAATGTGGCATAAAAGATTCTGGTCCGCCTGTTATCGCTGTTTTTCCTTGTAGATGTCAGTTGATAGTTGATACCTCCTTTTTGGAAATTTCATTGCAATCAATCTTTAAATAAAATTTTACGGGACAAATGATATAAGACTAAAATTTGTTTTTATACTTTTTGATGAAATGTTCTGGCAGCCAATTTAGGATATTTTATTTAAGTAATTTCTTGTATCCATTGATCACCAGACATACATGACAGAATGAGGGTCCATCCCCTAAAAATGGCGATATGCTGATAAGGGAAAAATATATAAAAATAAAATAAAATAATAATTTACACTTTTACGAGGTGATCCGAGAAGTCAATGCGGCATAAAAGATTCTGGTCCGCCTGTTATCGCTGTTTTTCCTTGTAGATGTCAGTTGATAGTTGTTACCTCTTTTTATTTAAATTTCATTCAGTCTTAAAATAAAATTTTAAAGGACAAACGATATAAGACTACGAATTTGTTTTTAAGCTGATTTTATCTAATGTTTTGGCAGTCAATCCAGGAAAAATCAGTAAATCATCCACTAAAATGGCGACTGATAAGAAAAAACATTTAAAAATATAATAAATAATTTATAATAACTGCCTGAAGGTTCAAATCGTCTATATGACACAAATGATTCTGGTCCGCCTGCTATCGCTGTTTCTCTCTTTCGGCTTCGGTTGTTACCTGCTTTTTTGAAATTTCAAGGAAGTTAGTCTTTAGATAAAATTTTCAAAGATAAATAACATACGACTATAAATTGTTTTTATGCTGGGTTATCAAATGTTTTAACAGTCAATCGAGGAGCATATGGTAAAACGTGGGCTCAAATAGTAAAACAGGCGATATGTTGATCAGGGAAAAAAATAAAAATAAAATAAAAGCAATAACTTACACTAAACATTTACCTGCAGGTTCGATCAGTCCATACACACAAATGGCACAAATGATGCTGAACCGCCTATTATTGCTGTTTTCCATGTCGACTTCAAGAGAAGTATTATTATTCAAAAAAAGAAAAACTATTGTAAAACAACTAATTTTTATGCAAGTCGGTCAAATATTCTGGCAGCAAATCTTCAAGATTTCTGATAGGCTTTCCCTTAGTTTCATTGGATTTTCTAACAGAAGTCATGTATTTTTGTAAATTTCCGTCTCTGATTACAGACAGGGTTTAACATGGGCTTATCCTAAGCCAAAGCTCTTTAATTATTAGTATTAGTCGGGCAAGTATGCCAGATTGATCCATCCCTCGAACCCTGAAAACATTGAATTGTATTTTATTCTTTAACTCGGTTATAGACAACAGAAATAATTACCGGTTTAGCATTAAGTTGATTTTTGTATAGTAAATGCTTTTATGTGTATGTATGTAAACAGGCTTATTAAAATAAAAATCTAGGCATAATCCAAGCAACTAGTTTTTGTCAAAAGCATAAAAGAACCATGCTCTATCGTACAGGCCTTGAATTCTATCCTGCAGAACAAAGAAGAAATTATAAAAATCGTCTAAATAAAATTATGTATGTAAACAGGTTTATTAAAATAAAAATCTAGGCATAATCCAACCAACTAGTTTTTGTCAAAAGCATAAAAGAACCATGCTCTAACGTACAGGCCTTGAATTCTATCCTGCAGTCAAAGAAAAAAATCGTCTAAATACAATTATGTATGTAAACAGGTTTATTAAAATAAAAATCTAGGCATAATCCAACCAACTAGTTTTTGTCAAAAGCATAAAAGAACCATGCTCTACCGTACAGGCCTTGAATTCTATCCTGCAGTACAAAGAAGAAAAGTATAAAAATCGTCTAAAAAAAATCAGAATAAATTGAATATAAATGAAACCTGGAAGTGCATGGCTCCCATTGTATCCTTCAAAGTGATATTAACAAAACTTCACCGAAATCCTTGATAAAAACTGCGAGATCATTAAGAAAATTAATGTAATGTAATGAGAATAAACCAAGCCACTAATGGAAGTTTAATATTACATGAATTTAAAACATGGCTGGGAGAGGAATGCGTGGGAGAATGCTTCGGGACGTCAGGAAAGGCACACGGAGGATGCAATTGGGCAAGAAGAATAAAAAAGCCACGCCTTCAGTAATCGTCCATCTCTAATCTTTATGATTATAATCCTTACCGTTTTTCCAGGTGTATCGCTTTTACGAGCATAACAGACGGCGGTCCTAGTGCGTCGAGCGCCGGCGGACGACTGAGGACATGGACGGATGAAAAAAGGTACAATACGTGCTGCACAGACACACGTGTCCTCACATGTCTGAGAGTGCGTGATACCGTTCGTCCGCACGAGAGACCCAGGACACAAGAACGTCCAATTATGCAAAGCGATCCCGGAATCCTTACGGAAAAATAGGATTTACGATTGTCCTTACTCGGTCAGGGACATAACAACCTATTTAGACCTACGATGAATATTTCTAGGATTAGGGAGTCATTCAAACCAAATTTACCATGAAATTACACCATCGACTTCTCTTTTATCACTATAGTCTTGCTTGTTGAAAATTATGCTTCTTGCCACCATAAACCTATAAATTCGCTGCAGGTTTGTGCTCATCTAGTTGTAGAAGAGTTCTTTATTTAACCGCACCTCCAAATTTTCTATTATAAAATATTCCAACAAGATGAAAGTTTGGAAATTTTTTTATGTTTTAACTAAAAAAGCAATTCAGCGGAAAAGTACATCCCACGACCCCTTGCTCGTTGCAAATAACAAGTCGACTGATGATACATAATAACCTTCAAATACGTACACAACGAAAGCTGATAATCATATTTGAAAGAGTAAATTATTTAGAATATTATTTTCCTCGGCTACTTGGTGCTAATTGGCAAGAAAGTTCGGACACGGTTTATTATTTTTCGACCTGAACCACCGAAAAAAGAATTTATACGAATTATGTGATCCCGCGTCCATTTCCTCTCCATATTTTATTTATATTTATATTATATTATTATATTAATATTGTTTTAAATTAATAGTTCGTTGTGAACATCACCAGCAAATTAAACTAGTTTTCTCAATTGTAATGATTAATTTAATTAAATGCACTGCTACGACCTCCTCGTCACTTTGTTGGTCCCTGCGCGGTCGACATCGCAATCCTATCCTGTAACTCGAATCCTGCCCAAGCTACCTCCAACATCCAAGAACACCTTGAGCTTATCGAAGACTGGTGTAAAAAATGGAGGACAAGACTGAACGAAGAATAATGCACTCAGTGTACTTTTACGCTGAAAAAGCAGTCTTGCCCTCCATTGTACGTCAACAACAAAGAGATACCAGTTTCCACTCAAGTCAAATACCTGGGACTATATCTCGACAGCAGACTGACGTGGAATCCACAAGACTTAAAAAACAGCAACTTAATACAAGACTTGGACTACTACGAAGACTTTTAAGACCGAAATCGACTTTGACAATTAAGACAAGACTTTACTAAGACCTATATGGACATACGGAGTAGAACTGTGTGGCACTGCCAAGCGTTCCAATATCCAGCGCATCCAGTCCTTCCAATCGAAAGTCTTTTGACAAATTGTCAAAGCACCTTATTATGTCACTAACCTCACCATACACAATGACCTCAACATTCCTTTTGCCAACGAACTAATCCAGTCCAGATTCCAAACCTTCCATACCAACCTTTCGAATCATTCTAACCATACTGCTCGAGCCCTATTCACTCATTCCCACCCTAACAACCCACCACGTCGCCTCAACCGACGTTGGCCTCGGGACCTCCTTGATGCCTAGTCATTCACAATGAGTGCCAACAATGGCTGGCTCCTCAAAGCATGTGTTCTACCGGTGCAGTGCTGGCATTAGTGCTAGTGTTGTGCTGTGTGATTTATCATGCATGTGTACATATTTGAATAGTATACAATTCTGTATAGGTAACAAATAAATAAAAAAAAAAAAAAAAAAAAAAAACTTTATTGGTGAGACGGTGGAAAAGGAGGTGCGGTACACTAAAAAGAGGATTGAGAGAAAAAGGATTGAGAAGGTTAAATTATCAAAATAAAAGGTACTTCTGTATTGTTAAGAGAAAAAAAATAAATAAAGGGTGAGAAAAGTTTTATCCAAAGGATGCCCTTTTGGGTTATTTTAATAACGCTGCATTTAAGTTGGGGGGTGTCCTCCGCAGAAGGTCTGTCCTTCACAACGTCCTTAGCGCACCTCAAGCAAACATCTTTCAACTTTGGACTAGAACTGGACAAAATGCCCTCCCATTTACTTTTATAGACATTACTTCCGAGGGGGATTGAAGTTGTGCGATAGGCTCCGGTACCTCCGTGCCAAAGAAAATGGTCATCTCAGCGGATGCCACAACACTTTTTCATATCAACCAAGACCTTAGATTAAAAAAATATTATTAATTAATAAAGTCAATTATAACTTCTAAACAAATACCTATATGGTTAAATCATTATTGTACATTATTAATAGCTTATCAATTAATATGGATCGTAAATAAGTTCAAGCTTATTTTTTTCCGTTTGTGTTAAATTTCTTCTACCGTTGTATTATCAATATCCAAATGACGTTTAAACAGCGAACATATCGTAAAAAATCAATCTATCATGAATAAAATTGTAAAAAATTATAATATGAATTAAACGTTTTGAAAAAAAATTGCATCCGATTAATCTTGTCCTTCAGATAAAACCTCAATGGTAACTGAATTTCTGATATGCGATTCGTTTTTTCTCTCTCTTGTGATGTTTATCATTATTTACTTTTCTTCACATCCAAGGCCTATTAACATTTATTGTTAATGTTTAGCTCCCAATAGGTAGAATGAACCCATTCAAAAATAAAAATACTTGTAAGATAACACAGATTTGAAAAAATTGATAATTTTTTTGGTAATATGGATAGTTTAAGACTGTCTTGTTACTAATTAGTTTTCTTTCACATTTATTAGCCTTTTCAGGAAATTATGGAGTTCATAATTATTGTATCTTATGTGCAGAATGACAGAAAGATGGGAAGAAAGAGAAAGAAGGACAGAGGGAGCTGAAAGTGAAAAAGGAGAAACAGAATATTTTTACATACTTAATTGATTTTTGTACGAAAAAATAAATACATATTACAAAAGTACGATATATATAACAATCCGTCAGTACAGAAACAGGAGAATAAAGACAAGATGAGAGATTGAATAAGACGAAAAGAGAGAGAGATAGGAGATTTTTCTCCTTCTCTTCTCTCTCCCTCTTCCTCATTACCACTCTCAATCTCTCTCTCCCTTTTCCCTCTCTCTCCTCTAGTCACGTCCCATTCATTCCATTTTTCTTTTTAAATTGTCTTAGAAGTCTCTCTCTCTCTCTCTAACTGTCTCTCTCTCCCTCACCCTTTCTCTCTCCCTCTTTCACTCTCTCACTCACGCTCCATTCTTTTTTCCCTTTCTCTCCCTTACTAGCGTCCCACTCACTCCATTTTTCTTTTTACGTGTCTTAGAAGTCTCTCTCTCTCTAACTCTCTCTCCCTCTCTCCCTCACCCTCTCTCTCTCTC